AATCACATGTTTCACAACATAAAAAAGATCAACAGTCGATTTTGTCACAAAGTGATAAAATGAGTGTCCATTATGCTGTTGTGACACTAAAAATAGTGTCATTAATTTGAGATGATCAACATGGGGAAATTTTTTAAAAAATAAAAAAAATAAATCAGTGGTAATGGATGATTCGCACCATATCTTGTGAATTCGTTTGTAACATATAATGAATTGATCAGCAGACTATTCTGGAATCGAATCCCGATATGGAAATATCCCTGACTGTATTTAACACAACACATGACTTCCGTAGTTAGTTTGTTCTAATTGGCCAATATTAACCAGGAAATTGATAGGTCCAAGATTTTACTATCTCACAATAGTCTTTGATTGTAAGTAACTAATAAACCCAGTGTGATTGACCCCCAGCCCTTCTAATGATTATTGGTCTGGGAACCTTTTTAATTATTCAGATACATCTCAAGGGACACCTTTGGGATGTAGTTAATTAAATAACTTAGGAATCTTTTATTCAGGTGGGTAGGCTGTAAGATAAAAGAAATGTTGACTATAAGTCAGCAGGTAGACAGTGTGTCAAACATAACATAACTATCTAGGCAGGTAGGCTGTAAGATAGTGGAATTAACCATAAGTCAGTGGGTAGGCTGTGTGTTGAACATAAAATAACCTATTAAATAGGAAACTCAGATTGCATGTTCACAGTATCCTTAATTTGACACATTTCAATTTTATCAATATTGAAAGGAATCTCTTAAAACTCTTAAAAAACAAGTGCCAAATAACTAAACATGACAAAGTAAATTATGTTGAGATTGTAACTTCCAACTTGTAATGGCTGATTATCCACAGCATTACGACTCTCTTCTCTATATAAACATCCAAAAGAAAAAATCAATATTTTTTTTTGGAAAAAATTTGTTTTTAAAAATATTTACTAATTAAAATTTCTATTGTTAACATACCCATTCTTTTCAAGTAATTGGTTTTTTAAAGCCTTTATTTCATTGTCTTGCTCAGACATCTTTGTTGTCAATTTCAGCATTAATTCTTCAACTTTGGTAAGATGTTCTAATTGTTTTTGTTGTTGCGCCATAATTGATTCAAATGATGGAATTGTTGCAAGTTTATTGTTTTGTTCTTTAATTGTTGATTCCAATGTCGTATTAATATTAAGAAGTGATTTGTTGGAAATTTGAAGATCAAGAAACTAATCAAAAATAGAAACTTTATTTATAAATATAAATATACAAATATCGTTATTATTTTCACATATACAAAAAAAAAATTATTACCTTTCTTTGAACTTTTGGGTTCAATGATAATTTCAGTAAATCTTCAATTTCAAATGGCTCTTTATTTTCACTTTCTCCTTGATTTCTTTCTTCGTTACCATCACCATTAACATCATCATAATAATCAACATCATCATAATTATCAATATTATTTAAGACTGCAGATGCTGCAACTTTTCTTTTAGGTTTATTATCATTGTAATAAGCTTGCCCTTTTAGTTTTTGTAATTTTCCATGATTATTGTAATTATTTCCTTCTTTATTGTCATCGTAATCGTCAATATTACTCATCATTAAAAAATTTTTTTGAGGTCCTGGATCACTATAATTTGTCATTTCAGTTCTTGCATCATGTGGACGGTATATAATATCAGACCATGTTTTGGATGATGATGGCAGCGTTGGTGGTGACAATGATGATGTTGATAACATCGATGATGATGATTTGGTTTTAGTCGTTGTATTAGCGTTAGTTTTAGCATTAACAATTTGTGATGGTTTGATTTTAATTCTAGGATTATTATTAGAAGAATAATTAACAATGGATCTTGCTCTAACTCTTGGTGAAGTAGAAGTAGAAATAGATGATGAAGAATCTCTCGTATTTGTAGTAATTTCAGAATGACTTTCAGGCATGTAGTAATCATTTTTATCAGCCCATTCATTCACATTGTTGTTTAATTTAGGATGATTTTTATAATAATAATTTAATTCTTCATATTGATCATTATCATCACATCTATCATCTTTAACAATCGATTTTTTGTTTAATATTTTATTTTTAATTTTATTATTCGCCCTTGTAATACCAGAATCACTTCCCCAGGACAAATCTGATCTCATACTTGAAAATTTTTTTGAATTATATTGGTGTGATTGTTGTTGATTTTGAGAGTACACTCCTAAACTACTAAAATCTGATATAATATTATTTGCTGAAACTTTTACTCGAGGTTTTTTAGGTGTTGTTAATAATGTTGTAGTATTATTGTTCGTACTGTCAATAGAGCTCGAGTCTGTGAAGCCTTCTATAGTTGTAATAGTATTTTGGAATAATAAAGTATTATTATTACTATTGTTGTTGTTATTGTTAGAAGTAGAAGTAATACTAAGGAGCAGATTATTTCGTTCAACTCTTGTAATTGATGAATCAGATGATTCAGATCTACAATTACTACTAGTAGAAGAACTTGTACCATCATCGTCGTCATCATTTTCACGATTTTCAACAGCATTTTCATCTGCTTTTACATAATTATTTACATTTGTTTGTTGGTTTGCGTGATTATTGGTAAATGGTTCTTTAATATCCATTTTTACTTTTTTTAACTATTGTGTTTAATTATATTATTTAAGTAATTGTGAAGTATAAATAGATATTTTATTTTGCATATAAAGAATTTCTTTGTATAAAATATATTGAAAAAATTTCAAAGTAACACTAAATATGGAATCTTTGATAATGCACGAATGTTTGTGCAACTTTTACGGATTATTTTTTCCCAAACTTGCTAAAATGCAAAAAATGGGGGTTTTATTATCTACTGATTAGGAAATGTGGAGATCTCGTTTCCCATATTTTTGTAATAACAATGTCGCTTATAAAAAAACTTTGTTAAACATATTCATTCAAGAAATATTCGATAATATATTTCCACATAACTTATTAATTCGTCGTTACATATATAAGTATATAAAATAGAATTCAACTCCAATTGTGACTTTTAAAAGAAAAACAAAATCGAAGAGTGAACCGTGCACACATTGTTCTGACACCAATATAGCTATTGATGACCATCAAATAGACGAATTATTTTAAATATTAATTTTAACAATAATAATGCTAATATTATTATAATGATCTCAGAAACTAATTGTAATAATAATAATTATTATAACGGTAGTATTCAAAGATAATAACAACAATAATATGACAATGAATAATAAATAGAATCATTTATATGCTTCCGGTGTTAATGACAATAATAGCGTTGTCATTGGTTTGCAATCTTATCACTTTCACCTAAAATATAATATACATACAAATAGGCATAATTGATCAATAATAATTTAATTTTTACTGTGTGCAAAGAAAACATCGTCCTTTGGCAGAATATGCCATTATGACTTTTATTTGGTGGAAATTTTATTTGATTTATAAAGATTCATGCAAAGTTGTTGGCTTACCGCAAAAAAATTAGAATATCTCTAATATTATATTAATATTAATATCATTTCCAGATCCGCATAAATTGTAATTGCGTATTTTTCCTTTTTGGCATTTTCTGTCCTGTCAATCAGAAGAGTTCTTATGTATTTATCACTGTATTAACTTTTATGCTAGAGATGAGTTGGTTTGACTCCTTTTCCCCCAAAATTAAAAGATGTGTTATTTTTCAATATATTCTAGTGAAAGATTTGCGAAGAAGGATCTATTATGGATTGAAGATTCATAACAATAGCTTAAAAGATGCCGTTAAAAACTTTGGTAAAATCAGATTTCACAGGAGTTTTATTATGGCGTAGTATTTTCTGAGAGGATGGATTTTAGGGTTGTATATTTTATTATTGTCTAAAGAATAAAGGATATTATCTATATATTCTTGAGAATAAATGCAGGGATGTTCAAGGATGCTCCTCAACCCCTCTACGAAGAGTATATTTTCAAATAATAAAGGATATAACCTTATAAATTATTAACTTTGACGATAATAATATTAATTTATTAATAATAACAAAAATCAGCCTCCCAAAAAATAAATTAATGTCCTTCAAACATATATATAGTTACCTTTGTTGTAAAATTTGAGATTATTATTATTATAAAATAATAACATTGCTGCATCCGACAATGATAAATTATCA